GTGAGAATCAACATCATTTTTTTCAAATGAACCTGTATTACTCGGGATATCTATATAAACGTCAGTAGCAGATGGCTCTTTCGTTTCAAACACATTGGGCAATCTATCATCTTCATTAACATCATTAGGGGAGTCTAACAAGAGTAGGTTTAACACATCAAGATTCCCTCCATCAAAGATATGCATCTCCTCTTCACTTGTGAATTCAAAGTCAGCAAACATGCCCTCAGTGCAACCTCCCGGATTTTCCAAGTCATCACCTGGTATTTGATTGGTCATATCGGGATCTGTGTGCATAACACCATACTCAGCTGTTCCTCCAGCATCATCATTAACAAAAGGATCTCCTATATGTATATTTTTTCCCCTAAGGCTTATATCATCAGGCATTTCTGGCACTGACATGCCGTCAATTGGTTTCCAATCAGGCATTGCAGGGGGTGGAGATGTGTACTGCAAATGATATTGAGCTTCACTCTCAGGTATAGATTGATTGAAGGTTGTGTTTCCTTCAAAATCAGAATGCATGATGTCTTTACGATTACAATCAGGATTTACTTGAATACCGTCTCCTTCAAACATACTATGACCAGGAAGTTCTTTGGAAGACACATTATGCAGTAGCAAAGTGTTATGCTCCATATGATCTTCAAATGTATTATGTTGCTGAATGGGAAATTCACTAACCCCACAAGATGGAGCACCACCTCTCGTGACTTGAGGAAATTCATTACGCAACTCATCAAAATCGACATGTTCATATTCCCCCAGCCCAAAATGACCAGCCATTGGATCTCCAAGCATGTCATCTGGGACTGGAGCTTCAGCCCCATTCATAAAACAACTATCACTAGTTCCAACAAGAAAAGCCAAATCACCCTGGTTATGAGGCTCATTGCATATTCTTTTCCTCATAGCATAATAACATCTACGTACACTTTCAGCCCTCCTCTTCCCATGGGCATTTTTAGCTCCTTTCGAATTATCAGCTCTGTTAGATTTTGAAGCAAGATTCGATGCAGAACGTTCTAACTCCACCATTTGTTCAGCAGCTCTCAACGATATAATAGGATCATAAAGAAGAGCAAGCCACCTATCTTGCAATTCCTTAATAGTAAATCTCCGCGAAAATTGCACGGCACCCTTCGCTAGTGATTCCAAGGAAGCACCAGCCTAAAAAAATGCAAAACACTCAACATTCACATAATCGGTAAAAACAAAATCATAACATGCCGTAATTACGCAAACAAACAGCAACAATTCATTCTTAATCACTATTACACATATAACTTAAACCTTAAACCCTAAACCCTAATTACAACACCAAAATCAAATCTTTATGATCACCACCAAAAATTAGAATCATAAACTCAAATCAATTGGAAACGACAATCAATTCGAAACTCAAATTACCCAAATAAAGAACACAAAATCAAGAATCATAATTCCAATCACACACCCAAAAACCAAAATCATACAAAGCAAAAGCAAAAAAAAAAAAAAAAAAAAAAAAAAAAAAAAAAAAAAAAAAAAACGCATTAAACCCTCAATTACAATAAATTAAAAGACCCAAATACTGAAACTTCATCAAATTCCCGAAAAAATAAACAACCAAATTCAACAAACATAAAGTAAAATTCCAATTTCAATAATAAAAGAAAAAGGGAAATTTGAAAAAAGTGGTACCTCGATTGCATTCTTAAGCATAAGGTCATCTTCAGGAATCCAAGGCGTAGGAAGAGCAAGAGCTCCCATACCTCTCACTCTTCTCCTCCTTCAATGGAGGTTTTAATTTGGCGGGGTTTAATGGAGGGTTGAGGAGAGAGAAAATGCAAAAAACCCCAAATTTTTTTAGAGAGAGAAAAAGATTGAGACAGGAGGCGGGAGGTTCGGTAAGAGGAGAGAGAAAGACCAAAAAAAAATGTGTATGTTTATCGCGGAATTTAGTTGCTGAGTTTAACGGAATTGAGAAAATTGAGGAAGATGAAGTAAACACCAATAATAATACTACTGTAAGGCCCTGTTTAGCTGATCTTATTTTTGCTTATCTGATCTGGTCTGCTCTGATTTCATCTGGTCTAATCTAATCTGATTTTATTGTCTAATTTGACCAAATATATCAGGTGAGATCTTTTTAGATTTGTAATAATGTGAATTTTATTAATATGTAATTTTCATAATTTTTTTCATCACGAAATTAAAGATATTTAGTGATAAAAAATTGCACATAAAACGATGATCTGATCTGAACTTATTTTTTCTTATTTGATTTGATCAGAACTTATTTTCTCTGAAATAAGTAATAATAAGTTGAAGTAAACAAGGCCTACATATGTATTGTTTGGTTCATGTACTCTAAGGGGTCGTTTGGTTCACAGAAGAGAATCGGAATGGAATGAACAACGTGAATGAAATGGAATGGAATGGCAAAGTGGAAAATTTGGAAGGTTGTTTGTTAAAAAAACCAGGGAATCATTCCCTCCACCACAGCACCACCACCACAGCGCAGCTCCGACCGCCGCCGAACCCTCATAGAACTCTGCCGACCGTCGCCGACCCATCCCCGACCATCCAGCCCCCATCGCCGACCGTCGAACTCCCTCCCCGATGCTCCAGCCCCCCTCCCCGATGCTCGAACTCCCTCGCCGACAGTCGCGCCCCCCTCGTCGACGGTCGCTGACCCCTTGCCGACCCTCCAGCCCCCCTCGCCGACGGTCGCTGACCACCACCGACCACAACACCACCTCGAACTCCCTCCCCGATGCTCCAGCCCCCCTCCCCGACGCTCGATCTCCCTCCTCCACCACAGCACCACATCGCCGACCACTCCCCGGTGCTCGCCGAGCCTCCCCGACCACTCCCCGGTGCTCGCCGACAGTCGCCGTCCGACCACCACCGGCGTATATGGGTGTTAGTGTTAGGGTTAGGGTTAGGGTGGGTGGGGAATAGAATGGGAAAGTGGGGGGGGGGTGGGGAATGGGGAAGAGGGGTTTTGGGGTATTTTGAAAAATGAAATGGGGGAATGATTGAGGGAAAAAGTGGCAAACAAACAGGTTGAAAGGGAATGATTCCCATTCTCTTTCCTGAAACCAGCGAACCAAACGCACCCTAAGTGTAAATGGTTTGATTATTAGAGAATAAATATATGGAGATGAAGAAAAGGTGGTGATCTTGGTTTGGGTCAAATGCAACGATTGGGGTGATTTTGTGTGATCAATTTGGTTGATTTTTTGATTTGGAAAATCTCTTTGGAGATCTTTGATAATATTTTTGATACCGAAATTGATTATGTGGAGGCAATGTGTTACGGTCTTAGTTGTTACATGTCAGGTGAGATTACAGGTGTTAGTTGCTATATGTCAGGTGAGGTAGGGTGTTACAGTTTTCAATTGTTTATATCAGGTGAGACGTAAAAGGTTGTGAAGTACTCTGTAATTTTGATTTTATCATCTGAAAGGATTTTGTTATAAAACTTCAATGGCACGTAATAGAGGTTTAATGAAGGCATGTGTCAATCTTTATCAAAAAGGAAATTTCGCAAACTAAAGCAGGTCATCTCAAATGCAAAATTAAAATTGAAATAAATGATCTAACTTCTAAGATCTTCATAAACAGTTAATACGTCGTCAACCAACATATTAATTCATTTATGTCAATTGTCTAAATATTGTCTTTTACTATAATTGATTGATTATGTTTCAAAAAAAAATTGATTGATTATATCAAAAAAAAAAAAAAAAAAAAAAAAGAGAGAGAGAGAGAGAAGTAATATGAAACTACTCCACCTACAAATCTCATTCACTTGTTCAAGTGCCGTATCGAGTGGTTTGAAAATCTTGTGTTACATCTAGATAGAATTCCAAAGTGAAAAATATGTCCATAATATTAGAGCATCATTGAATTATGAGAAATATAAACTTCTTCATTCGCATTATTATGGCATCATTGAATTGTGAGAGATTTGAATTTATTTGAATTCTTGTAGGTAATAATGCACATGTTCTTTTTATTGAAACAAAAATCAATGAGTTGTGTGACGTTATCTTGGTGATAACCCTAACTCTTTGTTTTGAGTAGAGCAACTAAGAATTTTCCTCCCAAGTGAGTCCGAAAGCCTGCAAAATAGAAAGAAAGTATGCTGCTATGAGTTGAGAAGGCCTCTCAAATTGCACATGAAATTTCATTTTTGAAACAAAAACAATGAGTTGTTTGAGGGGAATTTTAGGGATAATTTGTACTCTTTGTTATGAGTTATGACTAAAGTAGCCAAAAGTTATCCTCCCAAGTGAATTTGAAAGCTTGCAAAATTGAAATAAAGAATGCTTCCTCGAGCTGAAAAATCACCCCTTCATCAATTAAGTTAGAATTGTCTTTTATGAATACTCCGATCCGAATATAGTAAAAAGGTCTAAGGAATTTTAAAATTATGCTTTTCTCCATGTATTTTATAGAAAATATTTTGATGACAAATTTATATATCTTGAATTTATTGGGGTAAATTCCATAATAGGAATATGAAGGGACTTGTTTAGAAGAAATGAATTTGATACCATAGAAGGGTATTTTCATCCTTATTGCTAGTTTTTTAATAGTTGGGCCAAACCTGGGTCAGGCCCAAACATGTTTTATATTTGCTAATTTGCTACCATCTAAAAATAGTAGTGTTTGTCTTCTTAGTTGATTTAATTTTAATTAGAGCAAATTTGTGAGTTAGAGACTTTTATCAATGGTAACTATAATTTTAATATTAAAAATGACCAAAAAAAATTCCTTAAATGTTTCAAGCCATTTTGTCCTCGCCATTCCTTGTGTCGTGGAATGTCATTTCCATATGATGTGATAACATGAGCTTTGTGCTAGGACACAACCCAATGTCATCTCTATTAAATACACTTATATATAGAGGTCCCAAGAGAAGCGAGATGCATAACATGTCACCCCTTAAACTCTTGACATTCTATCTCAACATATCACTCCTCAACAATATAACAACTTTAACGAGTCATCAACAAACATTCACCTGTATCTAGATAATATCTTAATAAGTATCCATCAACTTCTTACAATGATTCAAACAGCGAAACAACTCAAGTTCTGTCATTAGTTTTAGCTTCACAATAGCATATAAGTTACCCTGCAAACATTAGACTTACTGATCCATTAAAAACTACAGAGTACAAACACAAACTAGCTAATAGATCTGAAGTTGTTATGAACTCATAACATGGGACTGGTGATACTTAAAGCTTCAAAGCAATGTGTAAGTTGTTACACATGATCCTGACCCTGCACCAGCATGAAGATTAGGCTGACACGGCTGCAATCGCAAAGCAAGTATACGAGAGTCATCGTTATATCCAAGCACATGATTGTACTCCCCATTATCAACCAATCCATACTGTGATTCCTCCTTCGGAATATCCTGCCAAAATAAAAATTCATGAGTAACCAAGTAGAATTTCTGTACGTTCTGGTAGTTTTCTTTTAGCCATTCGAAAGCAGGAAAATGCAATTTGCATCAACAGAGAATGACTTAAACTTCTGCAGTCAAATTTTAATACACTTTAAACAAAAAAATCATTACGGAAGAGAAGAAGAACATTCAATATCATCAGAAAAAAAAGAAAGAAGAAGACAAACATATTCAGGTGATTATAGTGTAGGGAACTAGAGAAGCAAACAGACATTTCAGCAGAGGAAGTTAAATGATAATCGAACTTATTAAGGGTGTATAAGTTAAATTATAGTGTGATATGCTTACAAATTCTTGGAGGAGGCTCCTGTGTATTTCTTGACAATTTCGCCACTAGTACAGAATGCAAAAAAAGAAGGAATTATTCGTAATTAAATACATAGGCAGACAAGGATGAGAACATTAACCAAATTTTAAGAACGAAAGGAAATCATAAAATCGGACTGACCTTTTTCTTCGAAGTATCAATATTATTGTCAATCTTCTTAGTCTGTCAATTAACAAAATGGCAAATTCGTTTAATTTCAACTCACATTATGAATCTACATTGTGCTTAAATCAGAAGAATAGGTGAACAAACTATTCTAAAATCGAAACTACCCTGATTTTCTCAGTTCAACTACATTACATATTAGTCCTAAACTGATGCAGAAACCCATTCAAAACCATACTCTCTGATCACAGTTTTAAACTGATAATTGATATATGCTCATTTCAACTCGCAAATCAGAAATTCAAATGATCTCTACAAGACAACATAATATATAACATGGTAGAATAGACAGAAAAGTGTATTTTGTTTAGCTGAATACATGGATTATGAGAGTTTAGACCTTGCGTTCACGAATGACCTTAACAGCATTCACCATCTCATCTTCAAGACAGCGCAATTCATTAATATCCAAGTCCTCCAAACAATCTCCCATCCTTCGCCTACCAACATTATTAACCCACAGTTCAAACAAAATCAATGAAACCAAAATAATACAATTCATATATCCTAATAAGATGAGGAAACAGTTAAACTTCAACATGCATCAAAATAATCGTCACCTGATATCCTTTTGAAGCCCTCTATTTATCTCATTCAGCTCCTGCAGGTCTTTTTGCATTTTCTGCACATACATATAACCTGATCAAGCTCATAATTCTAAAGAGATAACTGCAAAGTATCGAGTTGGCTTTATAGTGCTTTTTATCTTTGAAATTGCGTTTGAGTAGAACTGTTGATCCTTCAAGTAAGAGTTAATCACTCAAGTACAAAAATCGAAGGCAATTTAGAATTATAGATTGGGGGACTAATAAATAAGAGCAAATCAGATCAAAGAAGCTCCCTTTACTGATCATTATATCTTACTTAAATGATTTTTTAGTAAAATCCTTACTAAAGACATATTCCATTAATCCCTCTAAAAATAATTGGCACATTGTTCCAACCCCTTATGTTAGTAGTATAACATGTTTATTTATTTATTACAAAAGAGCTTAATAAAAATTGGATCATCGTCATTAAGTAGAGGCGAATTGGAAACTTTATCATAATTCTATTATAATAGGAAATGTAACGACTTACTCTAGACTTTTTAAAAGACGGAAAGAATATAGGAAACTATATAATCTTGGTTTATTGATGGCTTGTATCCCCACTTGTCCATTTTAAACAAAGTTAAAGAGAAGATCTCTAAAGGGATTATCAGTTCGACTTTCAAATCATAATTGAATAAATCAGATTTTTTGCTACTTGTACATTGTTTATATACAAAGACAGGCTAATCACTGTCAGATCACAGGTTTATAAAAACAGACTAAACAGAGATTTTTCCTTAAGAAATACTAGTAGTCAATATAAGGCCAACAAAAGCTCTATACACATCTAGTGTAATTGTGTCTATTAAAGCCTTATATAAGTTATATTACCTCCCTGTGACTAGTAACTATACCCTGTAGCTCGAACCTACAATATGGCCCTCAGCAATGGGTTTTTGCTTGTAAAAGATATGGGCATCTCCAACTTATCCATTGCAGGCGACAACCAAGTCATTATCAACATCATTTGATTTCCCATTCGGATCTTTCTTTACCTATTTTGTTCTATAGTTTAGGTTTCTCTAAGAGAAGAGTCTCCTAGACACACCTTGAAACTCTTAATTTTTTAAAAAAAAAAGAAAAGAAAAGAAAAAGAAAAAGAACTACCCAAATGTGATAAAAATTATGAAAGAAAAACAAGGAGCCTTGTTAACAGCTTAACAAATTACCAAGAATTATCCTAAGTTTGCCAAAATCTTCACTTTACAATCGATTGCACCTTACAACTTACAAGGGACAACCAAAGCTATTTCTTTTTACTGATTTGGTCATTTGGAAAATGAGCTAAAAAATAGTTCGTTATGATTGTATTTTAATCAACATACAACTGATTGTACATAGAAAAATGCCCTAAAATTCTTGATATGGCCTATGCACCTTATAGATAAGATTCCAAATAATTCTTTAATGCACATATATATTATGAAAACTAGTAAAATATCAACAAGATTTAAGATACAAGACCAAAATAAAGATCTTCTTTTAAAGATGATGATTTTGAAGTCTAAAGTCATTTCACAAAATATTGAGCAAAACCCTAATTCCTAATTCAATATTAGTACACAAATTTCTATTGTTACACAAAAATCTAAATATCTAATTAACCAAAATAATGAAAGCAAAATCACCTAAAAATTTAATCTTGAAAATTGCATATAATTAGAATAAAATAATTTAGCAAACCTGATATTGCTTGGCCCAAAGATCAACCTCCTTAACCCTCTGATACTTATCATAAACCTCCTTGGGCCTGCAAACATTAAAAAAAAAAAAAAAAAAAAAAAAACCTAAAATAAATCAATAACTATACATCAACCTCCACAGTCCACACTGATATAATCATCTCAAAGCGACTTAAAAATTACATTATCAACGTGACTATTAACTCCGGACAATCACGAAAAAAAAAAAAACCGAAACAAGAAACATACGTGATTCCGGGGCTATGCTGTTCATGAAGCTTATTAGAGCTAGAAATCATAATGATAGAAACAGAAGCATCACAAAGAACAGCAAGTTCAGTAGCCTTCTTAAAAAGCCCATTTCTTCTCTTAGAATAAGTAACTTGTCTATTAGTTTGATTCTCTATTTTCTTAATCTGAATCTTTCCTCTCGCCATTTTTGATGATTTCTTTAGCTTAAACCTTTTTTTTTTTTGGGTTCTCTCACTAAATTTTATGCTGTTGTTGTTCTTTCTGAATTATTTTCTATGGTTCTAGTTCACCCAATTCTGAAAAGAAGTTGATGATAATAATTGAGGTAAATGAGGTGAGAAAGAAATGAGAGAGAATTTCCAAAAATGGAAAAGCTTGCTGAATTGGTGAAAGTTTTAGTGGGACTCTAAGAAAAAGATTCTGAAACATTATGCAGTTTATAATTTGGTGAATTGAATTGTCACCAGTTTTTTACTTGGTTACAACTTCTTACGTCTTGTATCCATCAATTATTTCTATGATTTGTAACCTATGCTACCAAAGGATTGTTTTGTTGTTGTTGTAGGCTTAGGTTAGACCTCATCATGAGTTCTATGGAGTGCCTAAAGCCCTAAAGTATGGGCACGCGAACGTGTCCATTATATATGTCGATAATTGTTCATCGTGCACTCACAACTTAAGTTCTTTAATTTTAATGGGTGTATCCGTGTATTAGAACTTATTTGATAAAATTGGTGATGGTTCAAGTAGTGATAATTGTTTGAACAAGTGTTTCTCTGGATATGAGTATATAACTTTTGGTTTGATGTTTGAGAAAATAGTAAGGACACCATAATATTTTACTTCAAACAACATTGAAAACGAATTAAAACCACTAGCTTTTCGTTTGGCATCATAGTGGTTTTCTGTTTTTTAGTTTTTTGTTTTTCAAAATCATATGATACATGTTATATAATGAATCAAAAATTAGTCAAACTTATTAAAATCATGATAAATTTGCAAACTTGCAACTAATAAGTGGAAACACCTATTTCTTATTTTTTGTTTTTGGTTTTTTGTTTTTTAAAAAATAGAAAACTAAAAACCATAAACGATGCCAAACAATAGTGACACCGAGCATAACTTTCAACATTAATTTTAAAAGAACTTTCTTACAATAAGTTTTTCTAACTTATTTTGGCCGAACTTGTCTTACACTCATTCAGTAGTCATTCTCATATACACGGCATATTCCTTTATTACAGTCACAAATTCATTCTAGTCTACTTAGCGAAGTTGAACTCGAATATAGCTAATACAATATTTTTAATATTTTCAAAAGTGTTGGACATGGCACAAGTTGGACAAAAGCTTTTTGTCATGCTAAGAATGCTAACATTAGAATTTACACGAAGCCTTTAGCTTAGTTTATAACTTTATACCAAACACCAACCATCCAATTATTTCATAGAACTTCTCATCAGAAAACTGTAAAACGTCTTCTCAAGTCTTTATAACTCTACTAATACATCAATTAATTTTGTATCACAAAATAAAAACAAGGATTTTTTTTAAAATAACCACCCCTCAAATCACTCTATTTTAAAATAACCACCCCCTTTTTTGAATATTTTAAATAACAACCCCATAAAATAAATAAAGTTAGAATTCACCACCCATTGCCTGAGTCCGGCCAATTTTACGTCGAGTGGGCCCACATAACAGCTATTTTTTTCATTTTATATACTCAGAGCCTCGATTCTTTTTCCCTCACTTCATTTTCACCAAAAACGGACATAAAAAAAATAAAAATCTCTGAAAAATCTCCATATTCTCTGAAATTCTTCTGCAAAACAAAGGAATCCTATCAAGAATTAATCAAAGAAGCTAATTCAAACAGTTGAAGCCGGAAAACAGGTAATTGATTAACATCCCATATCTTTCGTTAGTTGCCCAATTTAATGAGTAGAAATCCAATTGTTCGGGTAATTGCTGCTGATTATATATTCAATTATTCATTTAATTGTTCAATTGTTGTATGCGACAGTGAATAGTACCCAAAATTGAGAACTAGGGTTTACGAAAATTAAATTGGGGATTTGTTGAGTAATACCTAATATTGGAAATTAATCAAACTTGTTAGGTATGTATGTGTTGAATGATTGTCAGAATTTCTTTGGTTTCAATTGTAGGTGATATAATGACTCTGATAACCTCATCAACCTCCAACACAAAAGAAATGTAAGTGTGGAGTACACTTGCCAAGCTTACTTCATGGACTCCAGAGAATCCTGGGCGCAAGTTTAGAGCATGCAAGTTCTATGATCCAACAACTGAAACCAGAGGGTGCAAAAGCTTTCATTGGGTGGATGAAGACGATGGAACAGCGGGAGAAGAAATTCAATACTAAGGCTTGGAGTAGGCAGAGCATTAGTTACCTAGGGGAAATCGTGAAAAAAGAATAGCAAAAATGATATAGGTGGGCCCACTTGACGGAAAATTGGCCGGACTTAGGCAATGGGTGGTGAATTCTAATTTTTTTTTTTTTTATGGGGTGGTTATTTAAAATATTCAATAAAAAGGGGTGATTATTTCAAAATAGGGAGATTTGAGGGGTGGTTATTTCAAAAAAATTCTAAAAACAAACACATCAATTTATTTAAACGGTCATTTTTGTAAGACCCACAAACAAAGAAATTAAAAAGGGAAAATGAAAATTACAAATTAAAGAACGAATGAGGTAAGCTATACGGATTTGTACGTACCCATCATTTGCTTACCTTTCAAGCTAAGTTCATTTCAATGCTTGATTGGTGAAATTGGGCCCATTATTATTTATTAACTTCCATTTATTTTCTACTATTTATAAAATTTAGTTGTATTCCAATTCTAAACCTTTAATTGTTATTTGTTTTGGTATTTGATTACAACAAATAATCTAACAACTACAAGAACCACTTCTTTTTAGCACCAAATAAAAAAAAATTGCAAACAAAGTGAGAAATTTTGAAATAAACAAATTTTATGTCGAAACTTCTACTTAATTATTACCTTTTAATACAGTTGATTTTTTTTGGTGTTTAGAGAGTCACAATAGGCGGGGGTGAGAATCAATCCCAGAATCTCCTGGAACTGGGAGGGAAAGCTCTAACCACTTGAGCTATCCCCCTCTCTCTTTAATACAGTTGAATTGATAGATTGAGTAACTATTGTTGGAAAAATACCTGTTGAAATCAAGAACAAAGACAAGAAATACCGTTATAATTGATCAAGATCCGTCCTCATTCGGTTGTGCCGTGGTTTGGAATCCACTGTCTTGGAAGCGAAATACGCCACCACCGGTACAGATATCCTAGTGACGCACGTCCCCTTAGTTTTACAGAACGACCTTCGCAATCCGTGTATCCGAATTCGAAGGTTGGAATTGCTCAAGAAATGTTCAGATCTCAAAGGCTAAGTTTGTGTTTTGTGTTTAGGGTTTCAAAGAATGAATAATCAAATGATTTTTGGTTAGTATATATATATATATATATATATATATATATATATATATATACACACACACACACACGTGAGAAGATTGAAAGAAAAAAGGAAACAAAGCACTCAAACCGCCTCACTACACTCGACAAAACCCGCCCCCGCAGGAAAACCCGCGTGTTTGTCCCGCGGCCTCTTACGGCAACTCATCGAAACTACCCGCTCGCGGGAAAGCCCGCGCCCACAACCTATGCCCATGCGACCACGAGACGGAGCTTTACAACTCACACATATCCAAGTTCGGGTTTTGACGCTTAACAACGAGGTAATAGAGGAAGGTATTAACAAGATTGAGCATGGCTAAAGCACAAAGGATCACAAACCAAATCATTCGGATGCATTACAAGATTTCAACAATCCCCACTAATCCATACGAATCAAATAACATGAAATCTGAACAGTGAATAAAAGTCTTAGTACTTAAATGCTAGTATCCGAAGATTTTAACTAACACATTTAGTGCACAAGGTTTTAAACATTTTCCTAGTGAGTATCTTAAGATTTTAACTCCTAGGAGCGAGCAAGGGAACTTGGAAACACATACCTTGACTTTAGAGCTTAAGCAATTCTGCAAATTTGGCTACTCTTGGGAACTAATAAGCAATTCTCCCTAGAAGAGCGTTACTCTTCGTACTCATGCAGGTGTTGCCTGTGAACCGAGCTCATTGCTTCTTCGAACGTTTTGGGATCTTCATCTACAACCTGAAGGCAAACCATGACCTTATCCAAACCATCCTCACCTTCCATCTTAGTTAGGAACACTGTAAGGAAATCAGGGCCAAAAGTTGCTTCTGTTCTCTTCCGTTTACTTCTCCTAGGCTAAGTTAACTCCTCAGTCCTGGGATAAGTTTCAACCTGCTATGTAGACAAAGGAATTGAAGAAACATTGTTAGTAACATCAATTTTCTTCAAAGGGAACACTTGTTCGAAGAACTCTACATCACGGGACTCGCTAATGACATTGTCACCCAGACTCATAAACCTGTAGGCAGGCACTGTTCTTAGCATATCCAATAAACACTGTATCAAACGTTCGTGAACCAACAGTCGACCGTTTGAAGGAAGGATATCCCACCTTTGCCAGACACCCCCACACTTTCAAGTAACTCAGATTCGGGGCATAACCTTTCCATAGCTCGTATGGAGTCTTGTCTAACTTCTTGTGAGTAACTTTGTTCTGAACAAAATTTGCTGACAGTACAACCCCCCTCCCCCACATGTTGTCTGGCAACCCGGAACTCAAGAGCTTGCATTTATCGTCTCCTTTAGAGTCCTACTTTTCCTCTATGCGATCCCATTCTGTTGTGGTGTGTACGGAGCTGAGATCTCATGAATAACGCCCTCAACTTCACACACGCCCTTAAGGAAAGTTGAGCCGTACTCTCCTCCTCTGTCAGATCGAACCCTTTTAATTTTTTGACCCAACTGATTTTCAACTTCTGCCTTATGCACAAGAAACTTGGACTCAGCTTCATCCTTTAACCTCAAAAGATAAACCCTGCAGTATATAGAGTAAGCATAAACAAAAGTAACATAGTATCGTTTGCCACCTCTACTCTCCAAGTTCTTAAAGTCAGCTAAATAAGTGTGATTTAGCTCTAGCAATGCTGTTTCCCTTTTTGTGACAGACTTGTAAGGTTTCTTCACAAACTTAGACTGTGCACAAAATTCACATTTTTCTAGTCCATCTAATGACATATTTAGGAGCAAATTTAAACGCTTCATACGTTTCAGTTTGGTAGCACCAACATGACCCAATCTAGCATGCCATAAATCAAAGGACTCAACAATATAAGCAGAAGAACTCTTATTAATTGAAGATTCAGTTACAATTTCAAGAACAAAAAGACCCCCACTAAGGTACCCTTTGCCAACATATTCTCCTCCATTGCAGGTTAATACAAGTTTATCAGCATCAAAGACTAACTTAACTCCTACTTTGTTAAGCAAAGCACCATAAATAAGGTTCCTACGAAGAGAAGGAACATACAGTACATTGTGCAGGGCCAAAGTCTTTCCCGAAGTCAACTTGAGCGTCACCTTTCCTCTCCCTAGCACTTCAGAGCTGCTAGACACTATAAGAATCAAGTCGAATTCCGACGGACACGTAATTCTGTCGGAATAATCGGAATTTCCGACGGATTTATTTTCCATCGGATATTTCCGAGGAATTCAAAAATTCCGTCAAAAATTTCTGACGGATTTTTCAGTCGAAACACTAAATTTTCGACGGAATTTATATCCGTCGGAATATTCCGACAGAATTTCCATCGGAATCTAATTTTTTTTTTAAAAAAATACCAAACCCTAAAATAGCCAACCCCCCCTCACTTCATTTTCGCCTCTTCTTTCCCCTTTCTCCTCCCCTTTCTCTCTCCTCTCCTTTCCTCTTCTTCTCGATCTCTCCTTCACTCCTCCTCCTCCTCTTTCTCGATCTTCTTCTCCTTCTCCCTCCTCTTTCTCTTGTCTTCTTTCTCTTCTCTCTGTCCGTCCTTCCTTCTCTCTCCGTCAACAACAACATCGACGCTACAACGTCAACACCAACAACAACGGCGCTGACAACCACCGTTGCGAGCCACCCATTCTCAAGGTTTTTGTTTTGTAGATCTAGTTTTAATTTAGGTTAGATTGTAGATCTAGTTAATTTTATATGTAATTGTAATAATGTTAATTATTAGATAATTGTATATTTATATATTTCCTTTAATTTTTGTTGTTTAATTATCGTTTTTTTTATTTTTTTTATGAAATTCTAATTAAATATGTAGATCTAATGGTTTTGATTTTTTTGTGTGGTATTTTTCGATTTTGTTGTGTTAATTTTCGTATTTTTGGGCTAATTTTTGTTTTTTTGGGGTTAATTTTCGATTTTTTGCGTTTTTTTTTTTTTTGCTAAGTTTCGTTTTTTTTGGGGTTAATTTTTTGTGTGGTGGTGTCGGAGGTGGTGTGTGAAGGTGGGATAGGGGCTGGTGTGGTTGGTGTCAGTGGTGGTTTGTGAAGTTGGGGTTAATTTTTGGTGGTGTCAGTGGTGGTGTGTGAAGATTGGTTAATTTTTGGTGGTGTCGGTGGTGGTGTGTGAAGGTGGGATAGGGGCTGGTGGGATTGGTGTCGGTGGTGGTGTGGTTGGGATCTGTGTGCAGTGGGGTCTGGTTGGGTGGGCTAGTGGTTGGTGGTGTGGGCGGCGGCGGTGCAGTTTTTATTTTATTATTTTTTTTAATAGGATTTTCCGACGGAATTTCCGTCGGACTTTTCCGGCGGAAAAATATTGTAACACCCCCAAATCTCCCTCTACGGAATATGTAGAAAATACGTATAAATATCGTAGAGATAGATTGGGGCGTATAACCGCCGCGTGATAACGCAAGGCTTATACTTTAAAATACTTTTGCAGCGGAAATTCTTTATTCTTATTAATAAACTTTAAATAAGACTTGTTCATAATTTGTGACACAAAACGACTCCAACTTTTCCTAAGCTAGGTGAAATTCCCGTGGACTCCCGTATGCATCAATCAACTTCCACCTGAAACATTCACCTGCTTACCATAAATGGTAAACAGGGCAAAGCCAAAACAAAAGCACGTATTAGCAAATTATGCTAAGTAGATTATGTGTAAAATAAGTAAAACATAATTTAAATCATTTAAGTTTAATTCAAAGAATTCCAATGCCATACTCATGTAAGAGCTTTTCCAATTCAATGCTTTCAAGACAAGTTTAAAACTCAATCGATTACGTTCCAAAACCATTTCCTCACTAAGTGTGCACACCCCCAAGTGGTTTACTTTATAATCAAAGGCCAAACTTGAGGAAAAACTAGGTCATGCAAAGTCCATAGTCTTCTCTAAACCATTCCCTAAGTGGGATTCAACATATCGATTGATTTGTTTAAAAACTCGTCTTTAAAAATCCATCACACTTACATAACAACAAACATGCAAATCATTTCCAATAATTTTCCAATCACAATTTAAGGTCCTTTTTTATTTAAATCCAAATCATTTAATTCAATCCGTCATGATTTCATAATTTAGTACGGAACATAATATCATAAATTCATACGAAACATAAAGCATGATTTCATACGGAATGTAATAAAATATGATTTGGTACGGAACATAATAATTTATAGACTCATAATAAATCATAGTTTTATACGGAACATAAATTATAGTTTCACAATTAAAATTTTATACGGAATAAATTATAATTTCATACGATCATAAAAAAAAATGTAGTTCCATAATCAACTTTCGAAGGTATCAAACCACATAACGTACCTTTATTCCGAATATCAATCAACACTTCGCACTTTCAAAGTTCAATCACGAATACACCTTGCAATTAACATAACCATACGGTTATCACAACATCTTTAGACATAAACCCAAATCTAATGTGCATGGACTATAAAACTCTTTTAAAAATAATACTTTAATATAAAATTGAAACTGTGAAATAAGTAATTATATTTTAGAAAACTAACCATGAAGAAAATAAAGGAATAAGATTAAAGGAAATTGAATTTGCGTTGCAAAGGATAGGCAGAACTTGCAGAGGTCATAACTCCTTTGATATAACTCCGAATTGGGTGATTATTGAGCCTAAACTCAAGGATTTTTCGAGAGGAATAATATTTTGTGAAATAGAAAAATCCAAAAACTGACCAGAAGTGCCCAAAAATTGGCTCCAAAGATATACGGGCAAATTTTCTTATAGAAAAGAGGAAAAGAAAAATAGGAAAAGTTTGAGGGAAAAGAAGAGTTAAAGAAAAGAAGGGAATCGAGTTTTTAGTGTGAAGAATATGAGAGGTATGAGGGGGGTATTTATAGGTGTTTAGGTGATGGGTTTATGACAATTTAGGGTTTATGATTTAAGGAAGTTTTGAAGAATAGAAACTAGGGTTTTAAATGTATGGAAGGATATTTGTTTTATTTGATCATGAAATTTAATTTGGTAGGTTTTGAGCTTGGAGTGCAAGTATAGAATAAGATCAAATAATTTTTAGATTTAAGAATAGAAATAAGGAAATTTAAAGGATTTTATTTTTAATAAAATAAATTAAAAATCCTTTAGAAAATTCATGAGTGGCCGAAAATATTGAGCTAAATATTGTTCAATATTTTCGGTCCTCTTATGTTAGTTTAGGGATTTTGTAAAATAAGTTATTTGTCTAAAATTCATGATTCAATAAAGTTTATAATATTTGGAAGAATAAAAATCAATTTCTTACTAAATTATTGGGGTGGCCGAAAAAATGGCCTATTAAATCAGATTTTTATTATGTAAAATCAAAATACCATTTTATTAGTTTAAGAAATTATTTTATTTCATAAAAATAATTAGTTTAGCAAGATATTAAATAAAAATCAGATTTTTATTATGAAAAATCCGAAAATAACATTTAATTAGTTTAGAAAATTAATTTATTTCATGAAAATAATTTACTTAGAAGGATATTAAATAAAATCATATTTTTATTTTGTAAAAATCCGAAAATAACATTTATTTAGTTTATTTTATGAAAATAAATAAAATTAGATTTTCACTATGAAAAATCCGAAAATATCATTAGTTAAGGAAATTAATTTTATTAATTAATTTATAGGTATATTTCCTAAAAATAATTAATTTGGAAAGGTATTAAAACAATTAAGATTTTTTTTTATATGAAATCCGAAAATACAATTTAATTAGTTTAAGGAAATTAATTTAATTAATTTATTTTAACCGAATTAATATAATTTCGGTTTATCTATTTAATTTTTGAGAAATCAAAAATACTATTTATAACATAGGTATAAAATAGTTTCATTTATTGGATTATCCATTTTAATTAGTTTTGTAAAATTATAAGACAAATGATTTAGGCGCCAAAATTTAAATATCATTTTGGCTCCAAAACTAAAATACTCTTTAGAAAAATAATTAATTTAGAAAAATACGTCAAAATACGAGACTAAAATACTCTTTAATTTAGAAAATACCTTTGAAAAAATACGGGGTATTACAAATATCCGTCGAAAATTCCCGACGGACTTTTCCGGGCCAGAAAATGTCTTCCGACAAAAAATTTCCGTCGGAAAACTTGTTCCGACGGAATTTCTATCGGAAAAGGTGGTTTTTCCTACAAAACCTCTTTCGACAACCGCTTCCTACGGAATTTCCGTCGGAAACGGGTTTTTCGACGGAATTTATGTCGAAAACGGGGTGTTTCTGACAGATTAATTTCGTCAGAAATAATCTGTTTTCTAGTAGTGAGAGTTCCCCATATAGACTTGTTCACCTTCCTTGGCTTCCTCCATACTAGCAAACAAATCTTTGTTGGCACAAAAGTGTTTGGAAGCTCCTGTGTCAACAATCCATTCAGTGTTATTCTCTACCAAGTTGACCTCAGAGACTATCGCAGCAATCACATCATCATCCTCATCCTCAGCTACATGAGCCTAATTTTTGAATTTACCTTTCTTCCCATTCTTGGCTTTCTGATCATTCTTGCCCTTCACCTTGCAGTTCACAGCGAAGTGTCCCACTTTGTCACAGTTCCAGCATCTAGCATTGGCCTTATCAATCTTGCCTTTAGGCTTAAGGTTATCCTAATATTTTTTAGATTTCCCCTTGGAGCACGATTGTCACCAGAATTCCTTTCATTGTCAGAATTAAGTTCTACTAGATTAGCTTTCACAACTAGCTCATTTTTCGTCTTGGAGTTTGAGTCTTTAAGCCGATTAGCCTCTTCAATTTTCATGCGACTCACCAATTCTTCGAGGGTTAAATCTCCTTTCTTATGCTTAAGATGATTTTGGTAATCAGACCAGGAATCAGGTAATTTCTCAATCAAAACATTAGCCTGCAGGATCTCACACATCTTCATACCTTGAGCAAGAATTTCAGCAACATAATTTTCATACACATGGACTTGATCCATGATAGGTTTCGAATCGACCAACTTAAAGTTCAACCAATTTCCAGTCACACACTTCTTTTTCCCGGCATCATCAACACCATATTTCTTTTCTAAAGACACCCACATCTCCTTAGCAGATTTCATATTAACATGCAAATCAAATATGTTATTTTTCATGTGGTTCAGAAGATGACCCCTAACAAACTTATTATCACGATCAAATTTCTTGATTTCAGGTTCATTAACAATAACAGTAGTGGTGCTCTGGCTAGGGTCAGATTCTTTATTCCCAGCAATAGGAGTACTAGGAATTTCAATCATAGCATTGGTTTGAACAATAGGTTTTGGGGCATCCTTAAATAAAACATAATCAACTTCTACTTGTTCAAAACCAATCAACATTCTTTGTGACCATCTCTTATAATTAATTCTATCAAGAGACTCAACCTTAGACAGATCTAGGTATAAACGAGTTTGAGAGTTGCTATTCATGATATCAACAGATCTAATAATGTTATTTCGCTTCTAAATTGTTGGAAAAATACCTGATGAAATCAAATAGGTGTCAGAAAAATGGTGAGAATAAGGGACTTCATAGAAAGCATATGTATCATATATACTTATCTTTATCTGATGGGACTTCATTGTTTTAATTTCTGTGAATTTTCAATAGTTTATACACTATAAAAGAACTTTTTTGTAATGCTGTTTTTTCACAGTAACTATTTGGACTAGTATCTAACAAATTTTTTCTAAATGTTTACAATGCAAGGAAGGTTTAAACTTTGGAATGACAATGGAGTGTGCATTGGTACAACAAAGTAAAAGAATGCTCCCACAAAAGTATTGAGCAGGAGAAGTCTTTGAAGCACAGAAGAGGAAACTGGTGGATTTATAATATCCGCAACGTTCAAAAATCTGGTTCAAATCCTTTTGTTCTTGTAATATTTATAAAATTTTTGATTCCATCTGATAGTAAGATAATAAAGCCAATTTGGTTTACCCTTGCTAGTTGTTCAAAAATCTGATTCAAATCCTTTTGTTCTTGTAATGATCAGGCTTAGTCCTATGGATAATGCAATGTTAATTGTAGATTGGATGTAATCTTATAATTATTAGGTTTCACCGGACTATGAATTTTAGTTATTAATTCAAAATATTTTATAATTATGATTTTTGATTAATTAATTATTTGTTATTTCTTTTTTTGTAATTTTATTGAATATTATAAACTTTATAATTGTCTTGAAAAATGTTGGTACTATTACAGGTTCTTGTTAAAATTAGATCTTGTTACCAACGAAATAATTGGTCGTTAAAAATCATTATTTTTTTTTATTTTTTTTTTGTCGTTGGATATGCATTTTACAAGGGATTATTTGGTCGTCATTGCCTAATATAGGTCATCGTTAATAGAATATCAACTAACGATGAACCCTTTATTTATTGTTAATGGTTAACGACGGAATGATACATGGTCGTAATTATTTAACGATGAACATCGTCGTTAAAACCAATAACGAGGGAGCCTATTACATCAAACAAATGACGAACTTATTTTGGTTGTTATAAGTATTAACGACAGTTTTTTGGGCTTTTAACGACGAAATAATTCGTAGTTAAAAACTCTTTTTCTAGTAGTGTTACTAGATTTCAACAATTATTGTCTATTGGAGTGAGATAATTATTTCAAAATATCTTCTTAATTTATTATGCGATGTTACAAATCATACAAATATATAAACTCAAATTGAAATTATGAAATAAGGCATACCATGCACACAATATGATTAACATCATAAAACCGTTTCATTATTTTCATACAAAATTTGTATAGTCATCAACTTTTCGTGATTAAAAAAATTATACTTTACACCCCAAAAAAATCCAACATGAAACTATAAAATAATTATATGTTGTGATATTCTTGCTCAATTCGCCGCGGCACTTATTTTGACTTTTCTTCTGATTAAATATTGTTGAGTAGTTAGTTTCATCAATTAAACAAATTGATTCTCTAATAAAAAAAAATGTAAAAAATAATTAAAGATAAACAAGTTGATTCAACGTAGGTTATTTGTTGTTGACTTTTTTGATTTCCATGATTTGTCTAATCAATTTTTCTTCACAAATAAAATTAATTCGTGCATGCTTGAAAGATTGAAAGCTACTCACTTATTCACTTCACTGGATGTAACTTAATCTACATTAAGTCAAGCAACTAGATCATAATCATACGTAAGATAATTAAAATAATATGTTTGGGATATTTCACTCATTTTTTAATTCATTATTTACACAATAATCTCATTATTCTCAAATCTAATGTATGCATAATGCATAGGTTTGGAACTTCTTAGATTGACATATTCTAGCTGATCGATCGAGATGTTGTATGTAAAATTTAACATCGTCCTAGTTCAACCAAACAACGACTTGAGTCAACTGATCGAGCTGAGTATTGTACAATTTCATAATACCAAACCACATAGTTAATATATAGTTAAGACTATATATTTAAGTCTTACATAAATCTAAGACACAATCTTTCGTTAGCTCAACATGTTAAATGGTTTGGTTTACTAACCCATGCAGCATGCATTCTAGGATCCGAGTATAGACAAAACACATAAGGCATAATATGATTATGACATTTTACAGATTTTTTTTTACACTATTTAATTAATTTACATTATCACATCTCTTTACATGAGAGACCTTTGGGCTTGAAATGTGGATGCAGCATGGGCCTTTCGCATACGCAGCGATTTGAACCCGTGACGTTTGTGTCACGCTGACTTCGGTACCATGTTAGAGGACTAATTCAACCAAAAACTTAAGTTGATGGTTAAGGCTCAGGAATATGTTTTATACTCTATCACAAATCAGATTAATATATTCTCCAAATTTATTGGATTATTTGTTTGATGTTATTTAACAGTATTAATTATTAAGCTTGACGATCCTCGTTGCCTTAAATGTCAATTTCATGCCAAAGAAAAATTTAAAGTAAATTCTCTACTTAAATCTGCCAAATTGGCATGCAGATTGCAGAACAGCTGGGAAATCATGACTTAATTGTCCTATGTTTTGTTTGCATTTGGTGTAATTAATAAACTAGTACTCGTATAAAATAATTGTAACAAGATTTTTTAATGACCCAAACATTTAAATTTGGATAAACATTGAGATTTGTCTATATTAATTCAAATTGCTATTGACAAAAGTATCAATATTAAAGTTCAATTCATTATATTATCGAAGAGATAATAGAGGATTAAACGCATTAGTAGACCTGTGCATTTCAATATTCAAATATAACTTAAATAGTAAATAGTATACTATCCACTTTTTACAAAGCACCTTGAAAGTTTTCGATGATTTGTCATTTGTGTACATGTATTATGTATTTAATGGGGCCAGTGACGAATCTAGGAACTTCAATAAAGGGTACAATAGTAAAAAAGATTATGCTTTAATAAATATTTGAAAATAATGCATGCACTCAAGTAACACTCCTAACTAAATTATGTATACTTCGTGTATAGTTGCCAGTCATATGTTAGAAATCTTAGAATCACTCGAAGAAACTTAATACTCGTACACATTATTAGTCCATGATGGTGCCTAGAGGAGTATGGTGTTGAGGACATAGGTAGGTTGTCTGTAGTTAGTATGCATAGCATACCCAATACTTTGTAGTCTTGGTTTGTAGGGTGGTCCTTGTGAGCCTTTATGCCTTTACCCAAATAATTAACCATTTACTTTTTCTATATGTAGACGCAACTCCAATTAGGAATGACAAGTTGACAACGTGTCAGATTCGAAACAAATGTTGAATAGTCCTCCTACTACTCAAATTAGATTTATACTCGGTATTCAATTGTTAAATACAGGCTTGAACCGTATTCGTTATCAAGAGAAAGAATCCACTTTAAAAGATCATGGAAATTTCATCCTAAAATTATATGGCAATAGGAGGAGTAGTCCTTTAACCTTATAGAGTGTTTAAGGCTCTCTTATTTTCTCGATGTGGGATATTTACATGTGTTACTTGGGAAGTATATACTTTAACACTCCCCCTCACATGTAAGGTCCCTCAAATTTCGTCTCATGTGATATTTCATGTGCTAGAGCGCATTTTTTTCACTCCCCCTCACATGGACCCATTCAATTTGGGCCAGTGTACTCATTATTCAAGCTATTTGTGGATCTGGCTCTGATACCATATTAAAGGGTCAACTCAACCAAAAACTTAAGCTGATAATTAAGGCTCAAAAATATGTTTTATACTCTATCACCAACAAATAATGTTTAAGTTTGCGGTTCTTCCTTGACAGAACTAGAATAAAATTTGTTTATAATGCGAAATATAGCCTATACAACTTAGTTATGGTTGATTATTTAATGTCATTCTTTAGAGGTACGTGGAGAAGAGTGGCTTCTTCTCACGGTGCTCACTAGTCACTACGTCTCAGGACTCAAGTCTCAAATGGTTGGATGACTTCATGAATTTTTATTTTTATTTAATAAGATTGATTAATAGATAATAAATCATACATCATATATCTTAAAAGAGATTTAAATATATACTTATATAACCTAAATGTACATATATATAACATACACGTACATATATAACAATTGAATCAAATTACTTCCTTTTAATGAAGTGCAATTCGATTAATCGAACACACTTCATATCCTCTTTTACATAGTTGTGTTTTATAACTTTCTTCAATGATGGGGTCTATCGACTTATTGTAGCCATAAAAATGACCACTAACTAGTCTTATTCAACTTATTGTTTTACGTATATATTATGGTTGATATTTTAAACTCAAATATATTACAATTTTATTAATTTTGTCTTGGAATCATGGAAGAATGACGAATGCATGGGTGTGACTTGCACTCAACTATCTCTCAATCTAAATAATATGGTTACGAGGTGATTCAAATTAAAGGTTAAAATTTATTTCATTAGCTCTTTAAAGAATGATGATCACAGGCTCATATTTTATAAGTATTGAAAAAGTTATGCCTGTACTACGAAAGTACGAAGAAATGTCCAAAGCTACAAGTTTTTGCCCATCTGTCTTTCGATGAACATTAGGGAGTCACCTTAATATTTCCCGTTTTCAATCCGATTTATGTTTTTTTTTTAATCCCTACGTTGTTTCCTATTTTCATGGTTGGTTCACAATGGATACAACGAACATTATTCTTTGTAGGATATACAATTAGGGTTTCCTTATAATAACACTGCACAAATAAAAGAAACACTTTAGTGTACAATAATTAGAATCGCATAAATTATTCAGGCCAATATGTAACTCTACTCATTTTGAGAGAGAGATTGAGTTTGTATGAGGAGGAGTGGCATGTCTCCTCTATTTTACTCTATTTTGTTCCTCTGTAAATCTTTCATGTCGATTGAACCTTGTATATCTTTCATCATTTTTACTTTTATTTTCTCATATATATATTCC